TGAAGATTGGTATGGGTTATTTTGTAGGCATGAGAAAGTTATAAGAAGTTGTTGATTCTTTTGATGTTTCTGATGTTTGTGCGGTTGAAATATGCAGAAAATGAGGTGGGGATTTATAACATTAATGTAAGGAGGTGAATAAAAAAATATATTCTTTAGTAAGTGAGATGTGATGTGTTTGATTTATTATGGTATATAAGGTGTGGGATTTTTTGGCAAATATTTTGGTTTGTTTGGTTGGGGGGGGGGGGGGGGGGGGCAGGCATGACGCAAAAGAACCATGAGGGGTTTAGTTCACTCGCATGGTCCTCCACAAGGACAGAAAGAAGCGGAGTCTCTTGATGCAATACGCACACGCAACACACGAGCCCGCCTAGCACGCCAACATAAAACATGTGCACCCGCACATCTAACAAGCTAACTCAAAACGCATTCGATGTGAACGCACAGCACTCAACACACGAACCCACCTAGCCCGCCATCCGTGACAGACTTGGGGGCAGCAGACCTGTCCTGGCTCCTGCTACGGCTGCGGCCGCGTCTGTGAACGGGATCGGGGCACCAAGCAAGAGGGGGCAATGATGGGTGAGCCTCAGCTGCAGCAGCAATAGACCTCCACAAGTTAGAACTCCCAGCAGAAAATCGTGTCGAAGTGGTAAAGTGGTCTCCAAGACCAAAGTCGGGACGGAAGTGTAGTGGTTCTCCAACACAGCAAGACCCGTGTAGAGGATCGATTTCGCATGACACTAAGATGACACGGTGAGAGAGTGATGATCGTGCGCGAAAGGTGTTGAACAGCTTTGAAAGGCTTCTTTTCGTCATTCTCGCTTGACCGGAGGAAAAAACAAACAAACGAAAAGTCGTGACTCCGCGCGGCACGCCCGCAGCTCTCCACAAGACCCCCGCTTCTCGCGTGCGACTTGCACCACCACGATAAAAAGGGACGCGTTCGCAGAAAAAAACTGATGGACGGATCCGACCGCGGTCCAAGCTTCCGAACCACCGGGCGGCCGTCCCCTCAAACACACCCCTCGGAATCAGTCGGTACACGAACACCCTTTTCCGTGTAACATGAACACTAGCTTCGGAGAGGACGCAGCCGTACGAGCAGCTCCCGCTGTGACCAGAGGAGTACTTGCGACAAAGGGTGTGTGCGGGTTGCTGCTGCCCTACATCGGAGTGCAGGCCTGACTGTTGTGCCGCCTGGGACTAATAACTACTGCCGGCGACGCGACACACCGCATTGATCGAGGGAGGGCGGTCGTATGACCCGAGACATGCAACACAAGACAACCCATGGAGACAGGATGCGCGGGGTCTTCGGATGGAGGGCGGCTGCGTAACAGTCCATGCCGAGCGGCACAGGCATCACGGCCACATCCGGGACGACGGCGGGCCGGACAAGACAGACGGAAGGGCTAACTCCACCGCAATCGACTGCGGGTACCGATGAGAAGTTCAAGAGAGACCGCTTGCTTTGCCTGTTCAGCGGGAGAGGGTGAGAGGCCGTCTCTGCCTCCTCTGAATCAGGCTGGCTCGTCTCCCGCCGAAGCAACTGCAAGATTGACTGACGGACCGACCGTTGGGGAAGCTCGCCGTCTCGGTGCCGAGGAAATGAACACCGCGCGTGGGGAACTCCTAGCGAGCGTTGTCGGCGGCACTAGTCCGTTCGCTCGATCGATCGCTCGCGACAAAAGCTTCGCGACAGAGCCGGGTTCCGATCGACTAGGCAATAGTTGGCTAGTTTTCTCGGGCGGCATAACAATAACAGCGTGTCCGCTCGCTCGCTCGCTCACGCGGCAGAGCATTGCGACAGAGCCAGCTTCGGAACGACTCGAGACGACAGGGGTAGGTCGGGTCGGCGTGTTGGGTGGCACGAGCCCATCCGTTCGCTAGCTCTACCGACCAGAGCCAGAGTCAGCTTCGGAACGACTCGACAATTGGCTTAGGTCGGCGTGTTGAGAGGCACTAGCCCGTTCGCTCGCTGCTATGCGACAGAGTCGGTTTCGGAACGACTAGGCGCCAGGGGTGGGTAGGCGTGTCGGGCGGCACTAGCCCGTCCGCTAGCTCTCGCTTTGCGGCAGAGCCAGCTTCGGAACGACTAGAGACAACAGGGGTGGGCAGACGTGTCCGCGTGGCCACTGCTGCCGACGACACAAAAAGAGCCAACAGAAAGACAAGGGTCTCTCCGGACAACGACAGCAGCAGGCAGCAGAAGTCTCTCTCACCCGTGGTCGCTGCCGCTACCGCTCCGACTCCGGCTCCTGCGGCTACCCCGCCTCTCCCTGCTGTCCTCACGCCGGCTGCTGCGGCTACCGCGGCGGGACTTCTCTGGAGACCGGGACCTGCGCCTGCTCTTGCGGCTGCTCCTGGAGCAAAACAGAAGGCAGCAGGGCACGTTTTTCAATACACCGAACGGACAAAGGAGTCGAGCCCAACAGAAAAGCTGTGAGCACTGACTTCAAGGTAAACTTCGTATTCTCTTGCGGCTGCTCCTGGAGCAAAACAAAAGGCAGCAGGGCACGTTTTCTAACACACCGAACGGACCAAGGAGTGGAGCCTGGCAAAAAAGCTGTGAGCGTTGATTTAAAGTTATACCATGGTATTCTCTTGCGCCTGAAGTAACACAAAGGGCAGCAGGGCACGTTTTTTAAATACATCAGACAGACCACGCATTGGAGCCCCGTAGAAAAGCTGTCAGCGATGAGATAAAAGTGAGGCACAAAAATTACGACGGAACGGAGAAATCATTTCAGCCAGCCAAGACGGACGGTACAGAGCCGGTGCTGAAAAACAGCAGCAAAAACGTTCCACCACAAATCTCCCGTTGGTCACTCACTGCGCCATCAGGCGTTCCACGAATATGCATACAAGACCTCGTTCGGAATTTCTGAGGTCGTGACATGCGCCCGCACTCAAGAACCTCTAGTTTTCGCCAAGGCTGGGGTTCTTGGTTTCCTGGTACAAGAGGCCGCTATATAGATTTTAGTGTAGAGGTTCCTAACCGAGCTCACAAAATGGTGCTCAACTTCTTAGGTTTGAGTTTTTCGAGGCCGTATCAACTTCATGAAACCCCAAGTTCTTCACGGCCGGGGTGCTAACCGCTGTAGCTGTTTTCATCATGCCCGTTGGAAGAAGGCTGGACTTGACACGAGCGCGCGGACCACCCGCCTTTCCTGGTAGGATGAGTTCATCGTCCGCAGACACGTTTGCCCCCCTTAAGACTCCTCACGGAGAACACTGACAGAGCTGCGTGAACGAAAGGTCGCACATGGCTACTTGTGATGCCGTCGAGTCGCAACAACATAGGGCGCGAGTGCCGGCGCTAGGCGTCCATCACAGTCCGATCGTAGTCTGACAAACGTCTGCGCTGATTTAGGCCTTAGGACGAAGTGGCTACCGCCAACGGGGGGGCAAAACCCTGGCGAACGGAAAAGAGACCCGGCGGAATGGAACCGGAGCCCTCTCCCTGGTCCCGTTTCCTCACTACCGGGGGATTAAGCCCCTTGCAGCGCACAAACGTTTGGAAAGCGTGCCCGCGAAGAGAGTCATGAATCCAAGCTTGAACCACTCGACAAACGGCCGTGAGATGGACCAACTTCAGAAGAAGTTGTCGTCCTACACTGGCCGCGGCGCCCCTCCCCCCCCCCCCTCCCCCCATTGCAAGGGTATCGAGGGTGTGTGCTTGTGTAGTCGACCATCCACAATGGGCAGAACGCGGATCCTCGCCTGCGCAGCAGGCACTCTCTCCGCGACTCTGTTTCCTGGCTTTTGGTGAGAAAGACAAGCTTGCCGGGCGACCCAAGACTCATCACGTCCGGGGGAGGGATGAGAGGCCACCTTCCCTCTCGAGAACCCAATCCGCGTAGCAGCCGCCAAGCCCCAGGGTTACAAGATAGGAGGGGATTTGCTGAGTTGAGACTATTCATCAACGAAGGGGTGCTCACGAGATGATCGAAAGCAGTACCAGTGGTTCACGACGGAGTCGGCTGTCGCGGCAAGACTTTTTGGGATTGCGTCTTAGACGCCACAAGAACTTTCCGAGATTCTTCTCCCGACATGGAGACCACCGCCAAGTCGTAAGCGCTGGTTAATGTGTTTCCGACACCCGCTGCAGCCGTGCCACCGACAGGGCTTGCTCTGCACCATGTGACGACCAACATCTTGGCGAGCGGAGAGGGGGGGAGCCATAAATGTATCAACGACGGAGAAAGCCATCGATCGGCGGGAAGGGTCTCGGCGGCGACGCCGGACCCGAAGCATTTCGTGAGCAGGAGGAGAGTGAGCAGGCCGTCTCCCGATGGCTCCTGGCGACCTCCTGCAACCCGTCCTTCACGTCTTGCAAAACAAACAAAAAACACTGGCATCGACTGACAAAAGTATTCATGGAACAAAACACGCCTAGCTTTATACTTCTACACGTGCGGAAAGGTAAGGTGCCCTGCAAAAACGGCGAAATCGTGAAAATCGGTCGGGACAACGTACACCACAAATCACGCAGGACCTCAAGTCCAAGGCATCCGACGCTCCGGTCGTGGGCGAATAAAAGTGAGAGGGTGGCAGCGTTTACTAGGAAATGGGTATGTCCTACGAGGGAGTGCACCAATGCTAAATTAAATGGATGCAAGGGTAAAAGTACATAGCACCAATCTGAACCTGGGTCTGTTTGTGCTCCTCGGTTCTTGCTCGTCCCTGGGACTGTCAAAAGCAGTGAAATTTTTCATAGAGCCCTTTCTTCTGAAAAGGGCTGTTTATTTTCGCACAAACACAAAACTTGAAAAAAATGTTTCAGTCGTCGTCCTTTCCGACAAGAAAGAAAGCGTCTCTCCCGACTATGACTACAAGTACATATAAAAGAATAAGAAGATAAACGATTTGGCAGTGTTGACAAGGGAGAGAGGGTTGCCGAATCAGAAGGATCCCGAAGGTCATCACACCATTAATCCGCCACCGCGGCAGGCAGATTTTCTCCCTTGATAGTTGGCAAGGAGAGGGTCCAGAAAGAGCGTGAGTATGGCGGTCGGTGCCACAGTTGGTCCCCCCGCTCATAGCAGCAAGTGCCAGGCGGACCAAGATCCGTGCATCCATCCGTGGTCTCCCTAGTTCCTGGAGTTTTCTCCGAACTTTCCAAGGGTCCCTGCTTCCTACACTTTGAACGTGTTCGCACGGATCCTACACTTCCATCAACATAGCTGTCATCCACACACAAAGACGCGTTCAGCACGCAGCACAATGACAACGGGGGGACGGATTTTTTCACGCTAAAATGAGCAACCTTTAGCAGGTCTGCCTCTCACGTCTAACCGGCACTTCGCCTTCTCTTCTCACCCGAGCCCCGAAGGTACACACCCAGATGAAGACAACAATGTCGTTACAAAACCCGTGTAGTCGATTGAGACTCAGTAGGGTTGCACCGACGAAACCGTGCCACTTGCGGTGGGATGCGTGCATGTATGTGTTATGTATGTAGGAGGCTTGCATGTGAGAGAGAGAGGAGGGGGGAAGGAAGGGAGAGAGAGAGAGAGAGAGAGAGAGAGAGAGGGATAGGAAGAGAGATACAGATAAAGCAGATATTTTCGAAGCTGCATCACTCGTTTAGCTTGTCGGCACCGCCGGCTGTCGTCAAGAATCTGGGCGGGAGGAACATATTCGTCCAAAACGCGGCAGGCAGGCAGGTAGGCAAGCAGGCAGGCAGCGGGAGCAACAACGACAACGCAAGCTCTTGCAAACACCACACAGCCCGATACACGACAGCAGTAGACAACACGCACCTCTCCCTCGAGTCGCTGCGCGACCGTCGGCGCCTGCGTTCGCGGCTCCTGCTGCGCTCGCGACGGCTGTCGCTGTCAACATCCTGCAAGAGTTCGTTCGTCACAGACAACGGCGGCGCGGTTTTAGCACTTACAGCACTGGTGGGCCCGGTTCAGTGACACCCTGTGTAGCGACCATACCCTGTGCGGCAACCACAAAATCTCGTGGCAGCACCGCGCGCCGATTGAGAGCCGCCCTGTTCACAACGGCAAGAGCGACCTGCCCTGCATTAGCGACCATTGTCCCTCCGGGAAAAATTGAAGAGTGAGTCGTGGGGGCCCCCACCACCAACGCGTGTACTTCGGCTTGATTGTATCTCGAATTTGTACCGGCAGGCGGGGGGTGGGGGGCATACAGGTCATTCCGGGATGGTTTGGGTGTGCGTGAGCGAGTTGAGAGACGAGTGGCTGCTTCCGGCCTTGGACATCCCACCAGATACAGAAGCAGTACAATATCAACACCGTGGTGCGGGCGGTCATGGGACCAAGGGGGCCCCGTTGTTTACAATTCGACCAGAGAGGCAAGCAGATCAACTAAAAAAACGGTGCCCACGTCTACCTCTTACAGACGTACGCGGGCGTGTTTGTAGTTCCACTCGCCTCAATTGCAATGATATCCGACGCCTTTGCTTCCGTTCTTACAGAACCAACACAAACTCTCTCTCTATCCATCGATGAGAGTCCGAAAGACAATTCCGCCATGAATCGATGGTCATGGGCTATTACATTGAAACCGCAGTGTACGCATTGGACCCTTCCATGCTTGAGCTGGAATCTTTGCCAAGATATGATTTCGTCACAAGGTCATGAGAGGGCCTAATTGTTATGCCGCGTACATCTACAGCAGATGTACAGATGCTGTAGAGAAACGATGTTCTGAAAACCATCACCGAGAAAATCATCAAGGGTCGGCTCTCTGATGGACGGGAAAAACGTACGAGATTTGAATCTCGACCTAACCTTTTAACACAAGAAATAAAAACTGCCTTCACCCCGAGGATATGGTAACATTTTTCCAATGTATGCGCACATACGGAAATCAAATTGAGCTCTGTTGGGCACGCAGGTAAGGCTTTGTGTTCTGTCTTCGACCAACAAAAATCAAGCGCATCAGGAAAAAATCAGCCCGCGGAACGGAGTCCTTGCCACTCGGCAAGTAGTCCTGGGATCCAAGGGGGTTGATCTCTACAGCAGTATCTCAGGAAATCACGCGGGTCACTTGGTTTGATGGATGGCAAGGACGCCGTTCCGCAGCGTGATTCTTTTCCTGATGCGCTTGATTTTTGCGAGCATACCGCATAGCCCCCCTGCCCATATATGCATCGTCATGCTCCGGCAAAATATCAAAATATCGATCTAACCCTCTGCATAACAGTTCATAACATTTCTTCCGAAAAACGAAAAGAAAAGAAATGTCCAACACATGGGTGCAGCTCCTCAGAGATCGATATTGATTTATCGGGTTTATGATATGGGAAGACTGGAAGCGCACGTGATGTCGATCCAGGCGAGTCACGGACTTTTCTCTCTTTGAGTATATACTGTAAACACAACAAATCTATCTCTATCCATAGATATGGGTCTCGGATACATTAGCAATAAATAAATAGGCATTAGCAACGAATTACGTAAGCAATGAATTCAGGTTGAATAGTTGTTTCTGTGGGTAACTTGAAGCTCTATACGATAGAGTACCAGTGGTACTGCTGTGGTAGTTTCGTGGCCATCTTGCGGAGTGTGGATGGGGCACGGAGGTTTTCGCGACCCCCAGGGAGCAGTGCTGCGCTATTCTCGCGTTAAAAATTAAAGGCAAGCATCGCAGGAGGGGTGGGTGGAGGGTAGTAGCTGGTGGGGAGGGGGCTCCAGGGGGAGAACCCTGTTCTGCTGTCTGTGTGGCCATGGATTGAAGCATTGGAGCTCCTCTGCTGTACGCGGCACAATTGCGGTGCGTGTAAGCGCGATGGAAAAAAAAAAAAAGAGAGAGGGAGTCTGCTGCCCAACTGCGCAACTTGTTCATAATAAGGACAGTCAGAAAGAACGCAGATCAGGTAACTCGCGGGTTTGAAAATGACACCTAAACGCAAGTCTTGGTCAAGTTTTTCATCTACAATCATGTGCGGAGCTCTTGGCGAGAAAAGCGTGTTTTCTGATGAAAGCTATGTTACCCACAGCAAATACTTTTGCAGTGAAAGCTTTTAGGATCATTTCTTGTCCGAAAAAAAAAAATTGACACGGCCTCCCGTGGCGCCAGGCTGGGTTACTTACCCGCAGGAGCAGCGGGATCGATCACCGACCGAGGGAACAGAGAGTTCGATAATTGTAAACGCGACATTTAAGCAGTTTTTCACCCTACCAACTTCTTGCATCTTGCCGCAACCAGCATACGTTTGTTGAGTGGATCCGCGGAAAGGGTTTAAAGATTGGCGGGAGATGGCGAAAATCAAAAGGAGGCGCCGCTCCACACACGAGCGAGGGGAACGAGGGAGAGCTTGCCAAAAGCGGCACGTGATTTCAAGAGGGAAACCGCCGTGATGCACTAAACTCCACTCTCACCTCACGGGAATCCTTTCCGGTGGTCGCTCCGTTGTCCGACATGGCTCCTCTCTCCCTTTCTTAGTCCTCTCTCTGCCCCTTATTTCTTGACTGCTCGTGTGGACTCTTCGTGCTCCGGCCCAGAGAGGGGGCAAGGGCGCACGCAGCTGGTATTCGAAACGATTGTTATACGTAGGGGGCTCCGTGAATCAGATACAGCGGCCCGAAGTGCTGCCGCACCTGCAGCAGTAAATTTGTAAATTTAGAGTGCTGCTGCCATCGCAAAGAAACATGGACACGATGCTCCCGCCGCTGGGCGAAGGCCTGCCCCTGCACAGTAGCTTGCGACAGGTCGCGCTCCTCGATCCCCCTCCTCCTCTCAGCAGCGTCGCGTCGCGGGACAGGCCTCACCTGGAACCGATTCGCACGACAAAGCTTAACGACGATGCAGCGGAAAGCAGCAGCAGCAGCGGCGGCATTGCACCGAAGAAGGCGCAAGAGCAGCACGACGCAAGAGCAGCTTCCGGCACAACGACTGCCTTACTCTCGCCGCCGACGTCGCCCCCGAGGTTATGCTCGATATCTCCCACTCCCTCCAGGGGCGTGCCGAAGATGGGCTCAATGGACGACTCGTATTGCGACAGATATCGCAGCACCAGGTATGCGTGTGCGACAAGACTTTTTACTGCTGTTTTCCGAGCCTCTCTCCATCGTGACGTGTGCCTCCGCTCTTGTGGTATTGATTGCGGAGACACCTCGATGGCAGTGCCGTTCGGATAGAGGGAAGGCAAAAGTCCGGGGGTTATGCTGTTGAGAAGTCACGTCATCCCGCCGTTTTGCGTCTTGTGCGTGCCGTGCATTCCGTGTCCTTCGTTGGGCATGTTCTGGCAGCAGCCTGTGGTTTCGGAGTCGGTTACAGGAGAGAGGAGAGGCGCGTCGATGCGAAAAAAAAAGCCAGCGTGCGATGTAGTGGTACATCGGAAGAGCCGACCCACCAATTTGTGGAGCAATGCCTGAAGCTTTTCTGTGCATAAACGATGACTGAGCACGGGCTATTGCTAAGCTACCCCTTAGCGCTGACGGCGGGGCGCTGAATTTCTTCTGCCAATTTCTTGTTTGTCTTTTCAAAACATTGGGAGTTGGGTTTTGCTGTCAAGTGTGTCTCTGTGCTTGCGGCGGTATTACCACTGGACGTGACCACTGGTTCTGGTGGCGCTGCTGCTGGCTCTACGGAATGACCTCCGAGATAGCATATGCCTCACCCGCGTTGGGCTCCTCCCCTCACACTCGAATCGTCTTCGGCGCAATGTACTCGGCGAGCGAACAGCTCAGCCGCAGCCTTACCAACCATCGGGTGCGACTTCACAATGTCATGCGTCTTCAAAAGTTGCATGCGGTGTGCAAGACATCCTACTGCTGTACAAGTAGAACACCGACGCATTTAGAGTATAAGCATATACTAAGATGCACGCACACGCAGAGCAAGTTCAGCGAACGCGAACTTCGAGCGCACCGCGAGCTATGATCTGTCGCGTTGCCAGACGCCATTGTTTGATAGCGGTGACGTTCAGCACCATTGTTTAGTTGACAACAGCTCGGTAACCAACAGCCCCTTCCCCGTCTCCAACCCACCGCAGCTCACCACCTGCTTCGCCTGTTGACCGACATCTCCTCAGGCTCTGTTGAAAATTGACATGTGTTGGTTGGACAAAATAGCGACAAAGACAGCGGAAATGGTCGTGGTTTTGGCGACGGAGGGTATAGGGCTAGCGTTATGCAATTGCTGGCGGCGTGCGACGGCGCGCAATCGCCTCATCGTCCCCCCCTGTTCTGAGACCGCGGGACACGATGTTCTGTATTGAATTGCAAGAACGCGCCAAGTGTCAACCATGGTCGTCTATTGCTGTCCAACAGCAGGCAGAAGAATGTCATCAGCAGTTGCAGCAGGAAACATACTTCATTGTTGCAGCTGCTGCAACCTCGAGGCAACCACCGTATGCACATGAAGGAAAGAAAATATTGCCACAGGAAGACATGGCAGTCCTTTCGCTTTTTTTTGGCATTCTGGTCTCTTATTTTCTTTGCCAGGATGATTTCTAAAACCCCCAAACACCACCGGTTGAGGTATCCACAAAGTGCACCCTCCGTGAATACGTGCTACTTGAAGTTGGCGTGCACTTCATGTTGTACGTAAACCGTGTCGAGGGTAAGATGGTGATGCGGCAGCAGCAGCAGCAGCAGCAGCATCTTGTTCCGACATGGAGACCTCCACTTCCCAGAAGTTGCGACGTTTCCGCCAAGGGTAGCTGTTTCCTTTCTCTCTTGAAGCAAGTGCGCTGCTGACATGTACCGGCGTTCATTGGTGTCTGGCTCAGCTTCCGAGCCGAGCCGTGGGAGTCTTACCTTGCGTTGGGCTGCACGAAACCCTGCCCTGCTTCTCATGCCGCCGGCGGTTCTCCCCTTGCCTGAATGCCCCGGAGGATTCTTTGGCGGGTCCAACAGGGTTTACTTGCTCGCACCCACCCCTCCGGTTTGCGGCGGCCTCGCGTTTGGTACGCATCTTGCCTTCCTGCCGTTGTCTTGCTCTATGTACAAACCGTTACCGATCCCCACTCAGTACCTCTACTATCCGTGCCGGCCCAACCGGCGCGGACGCCTTCCGTGGTCACAGGCTAACTACCCAAGAAAGGGGTGCAGTTTTCTAGAACTCGCAAGAACACCATGTTCTTATTGTGGCAGATGTTGCAAACTGCTTGAAGTTCATACTGTACAACGAGAGCGCCGGCAACGACCGACGAGAGTCACTGGCCGCATAGTAGTGTCTTGCACAAGCGCAATATTGTCAATATTATCAGGAAGCCTGCAACGTTTCATCTTTGGACAGCAGGTTTCCCGCACCCATACGATTATCTTTTGCCAAGTACTTACCAAAACACAACAATTTTCACCTCTGCCACAGCCAAGAGCCCGGGCTAGATTAGCAATGAATTCATAGTGTTCGTATGATGACCAGCTTGGCCTCCCCAAACCACCCATGGCCTTCCGGGGATGAAAGTAACGACTCCACAGCATCCGACGGTTGGTGTTTTTCTGGTAGCCGGGGTTATGACGTTTCCGTGTGTGTCGCGGCCATATAGCTCTCCCCTCTGTGTATGTACCGTGGCGTGAGCCTCACCCTTGGCATCCCCTGTGGAGAGCTGGCGCCGTCCGTTAAGTTAAAGTTAGCGGTAGGAGATTAGACTTTGTTGTCTTCATGTAAGAACAAAAAACGAAATGCCAGTGTCGGGTCCAGGCTCTAGGTTATTATTACAGTATTGTCCCAGTGTTACGTTTTACGGAGTATTGTACGAAGTACTCAAACGGTATCAAAATGTGTGTGTGTGGGGGGGTGTAGTCGTAGTCGTTAGACCATTGACCTCGCATCCCTACAAAGCCGGGACGGAGCACGCCGGGTTCTCACCGGACCAGGCTCTCACATCACCAAGCGCGAAGCGCAGTGAGGTATTCGGCGAGTCGCATGAAGGGTGCGCTGCATCCTGCTAAGGGTGTTCGGCATCTTGTGCTTACTTCCTTGCGTACGGATGACAGCTACGTATGACTTAATTTATTTTCTGGTGCTTTCACTTCCAGAGACAGTTATAAGCACTGTGTAACTGCCTCGAGGATGCTTGACCATATTAACACAACGTGGTGCGATCATCCCCCTTGCGCGGAGTGAGGGTTCTCGACCCCGCTCAACATAATCTACTCGACCACCACTATGGTTACCGCAAATAAAAAAAACAGAGGTAAAACAAGCGGTAACCTGGTTGCCGAGTTCACGAACGGCTTGTTTTACAACGTCGTTGCCAAGCGACGGAAACCCAACCCCGATGGCAAACACCGGGGGGAGTGTGTATGTGGCGGGGGCGGGGGGTTATTTTTTTTTATTTTGGGGACGCCATACATATCGGCACCAAACATTTTGTTGACCGCTCCATCCCCCCTCCGCTGTCCACTCGCGTCCCGTCCGCGTTTGTCGCTGCTTTTTTCGCAGCTCGTTCGGTTGGTATGAGGAGACTGCGGCCTTCGAGTCGATGGACGCGCCTCAATCGAAAGCGTTCTGCCAGGTGTCAGACTGGAGGAACCTCGAGACGTGGGACGGGGGGAGGCACGAGCCGCAGGAAGTGAGAGGGAGCGTTCCACCGTATCTACGCGTCTTTTTTCTTGCCCCCCTTCCCCCATCGCTCTTGGTGACATGCTTGCACAAGATAACACACCACCAAGACCGATCTTCAAAATTCGGTTACCCCACGGCGAGAAGGATGACCCCCCCCCCCCCCCCCCCCCCCCCTTCCTATGGGGAAAAAAAAAAAAAAAACCCCCCCCCCGCCTTTTTGGGGGGGGCCAAAAAAAAAAAAAAAAAAATTCCTACCTTTACCCGAAAGGGCCGGTCAATT